AACTTCAGTTCTGGCTCTCCACCACCACAAGATGGCCATTTCTTTCCTGAACCTGTCATTTTTACCATGAAATTAATTCAGGACGCTCCTGAGGTCAAGGACAGGCTGAACTTTGCCATCAACTCCTGCTCCGGACATCGCAGGACTGTCCCAGATGTACGGCAGTGTGACAGGGAATGGAGAGCCCACACTATTGCTGTGCTCTGAAACAAGAGCAGAGGTTTTTCAAAGTTCATTATGGGCAAAATAGGATGGAGAATGAAATTAAAGCTTTGCTGTGGGACTGTGCATTTGAGAATGTAAGGGAAAACAATCTCCTAAGAGCTGTTCTAAGCTACTACAGGTGTTTTCTGCCAACATTTACTTAGTCTTCAGGAGTTTCTGTTTAAAAAGTCGGTTTTTAGGAAAAAGAAATATTTGTTAACCTGTTAATAAAGAGTTGATGACAGGTAGAAAGTGGTAGCTCAATCTGCAAAAATTAAGTCGAATATTGCAAATTTCAGTTTCAGTAGAACCCAAAGCAGCCTTATTTCAGGCCACAGATGGGTTATTCAGCTGCAGTTCACATCCACTCCAGTTGCAGCCTGTGTATCAGCCAGAGAATTTAGAAACTTTTATTACCATTACCACTTTAACATACTCCCATAGCAAATCTTCCACCCCTTTTCTGCAATGATGGTGGCAGCTGTTTGTGGCACACTCTATCATCCATAAGTTTGGGGTTTTCTCCCGCAAAGATTATAGCATTTGCGCATTGGAATGTTAGGTATTGGCTTGCATTTCTTCAGCGTCAGATTTATCCCTATTAGATTTGAGGCAGCACGCTTGCTTATATTTACAACATGACAAGCAAAAAAAATTGTAGTTAATTTAGTTACTAATAATAATTATATTGGGAAACTGGAAAGAAAAATGCAAACTGGATTGTGAGTACGGGAATAAAATGTTAGTAGATGTGCAAACATGGTTAAATCAGCCCTAAAATAGATCTTTACAGGAGAGGGAAGATTCTGAAAGGGAAGATTCTGAAAGGGAAGATGTGAGAGCAAATATGGTCACACCAGTGAGGCTGGAGAGAGGAGAGCAGATGGGGACAAGGGACCGGCCTGGGGCTGGATGCTCTGCTGGCTCCGGCCGTGTCTCTGTGAGAGAAGAGGAGTTACACCACCAGAAAAGATTGCTTAGGGTGCGTCCCACCTTACACACACCCAGCAGGGAAAGAGGTGCACCCACACCCATGTGCAGCTTTGGCGTCACGGTGGTGAAGCAGTCATGGAGCTGTGCTATGGGAGTGAGGGCTTGTTTAATGGTACATGAGGATGCAGTGCTGCATCTCTATGGTGAGGAACTGCACGCTTGGAAACCTTTTTCTCTTTCCAAATGCCAAAGGACAAACAATCCTTTGAGTTTATCATTTAGAACTGAAAATGTCCTAGCACCACGTTTAGAATTGCAGCTTTATATCTATTTACATCTAAATCTATGACATTCAGGTGGAGATTATGAAAGAGAAAAGTACTAGCTGCATAACTGAGTGTGGGTGATACTAAAATATTACCCCTAAGCCACAAGTCAGGTTTGGTTTGCTTTGAGGTGTTCTGTTCTGTTTTCTTCTGGTAAATGCAAAGTAAATCTTGGCCAAATCAAGCACAGCTTGGACACAACTGAATCTCCCAAAGTCTGCCCCTAAAGCAGTCAGGCAAGCCTGTGTTTGGGGTTTACCTGTGTGCTTTAACAGGTTAATGGGCAGTATTAAAAGATCATTTTCAAGTTAAGCAAACATTTCTGGCATATTGTATAACACTTGCTTTAAAATTAAGTTAGTTATTCTGAACTTTATGCCAAATGATTATTTGCACGATTCTCTGATGACGGTAATCATGACATACCATCACATAATTTGGTAAAGACAATAAGATTACAAAGCCCAAGAAGGGTCTGAGTCAGTCTTTGACAGATTAAAGCTCTCCAAGTCCCCTGAAAACCCTTCTCTGACATATTAATTTGACCTAAACCCTCAAAATGTTCCTGATTATATCATCTCAACTGGGCTTTATTTTTGTTTTATTTTTCATTGTAGGAAATTAAAAAGGGTTGGTTGATCCCTAGCCAAGTTCTTGAAATGTGTTGCAATGCTAAGGAAATAAAAGATTACTCAAAATACTTTTTAATAATATGTCATGTCAGCAGAGATAAAGGTTCACACTCTGTGCCCTCAGCTGGCTTCTATCAGAGCTGGGGAGCACAGCGTCAGTCCCTGCCAGGCTCAGGGAGGGACCCGCCGGTCACCTGGCTTTTAAATCACGAGCTTATGCTCTTATAATTATGACCATGTTTATAACATTTGCTTCATTTCTCTTTGTAAGAAGAGCTAAAGATCTGCCCAGGTGGAGCTGATCCTGCCCGGAGCCTGCTGAACCTCCCAAAGCTCCTCCGCTGCCCTGTTCTCCACCTACTGCTGCTGCCAATGTACAGGGACAGCTGTGGGATAATATCCCAGAAGAGCCCCCTGCTGCAGTCATGCACCCGTCCCACCGGAGCCTTGGGCAGGAACACCTGGACATGCCTCATGCGAAGGAAAACCACGTCAACAGCGTTTGAGGCTTTGTGGGGCTGAAGCTGATGAGCATCAGTAGAAGGGTGGAGTAATGTGGGAACAAAGCCACATGACACGATATAGCTGGTCCCCAGATTTGGAGACAGTTTGTGCAGGAGGAGAGTCATGAAATCACAGATTGGTTTGGGTTGGAGGGGATTTTAAACCTCATCCAGTTCCAACCCGCTGCCAATCTAGACCAGATTGCTCCAAGCCCTGTCCAATCTGGCTTTCAAGTACCTTGAAGTACCATGGGGAGTACCATCATGATCAATAAAATTTAAAGTTAATAAGCATCAGCCTCTCCGAAGGCCATACAAATTAGTGTCATCTCTCTTTCCAGGGTCCAGGCTAGCTCCTCACCCGTGTAACCCCACAAAAGCCTGGGGAAGCAAATTCGATAAACACCCTTCCATATACTTACATACATCTCTCCCAACTGCTGCTGTAAATGCCACAAGTTCAATAGGATCTTTGAGAGCCCATTTACAGCCGGGGATGCAAGACAGTGGCTGGAGAAGTGGGTATCTTCCAACCATGTGCTCCAGACTGGACATTGAGCTCTGGCTTTCATCGCCTGTATCTGCACCCCTTCACTTCCTCCAAAGTGTTTTCCTTAGACAAACTCCTGACCCAGTGAGATATGCCAGGAGTTTGGAGTATAAATGTGTGTTAACGTATAAATGGTTATAAACATATTAATGTGTATAAACATATAAATGAGTATCAGCGTGCAAAGCCCACCGTAAGCTGAGTAAGGAGCATTCTCGGAATAGGGATTTGAGGACAATTTGAGGGTATGAGCCTGGGGCATTTAAACTGCACATTTGCCAGAAGTTCTGCCAGATAGCGACTGCCTGGTGTTTGATTTTGGCTGTCTCCACATAGCGCAGTTTTCAAGCTGCTGCCAGCCCAAGGCTTGGAAGAAATGTGTGCACCAGGACACAGACCCTAACAAATACAACAAGAAATCTCGTGAAGTTAAACATTTGACTAAAACAGTGCTCCCCTGAGCGCCTGGAAAGTGGGACATGGAGCGCTGAGCCCCGTATCCTGTCCTATGGCTGCTCCCACACACCCTGAACCTGCTTTCTCAGCTGGCCTGTGGATTTTATCCCCTTCCACATTTTTTTCCCGTTAAGGCTCATCTAGCCTAGCTGACCCCGCTGCTGCAGGGAAAGGCAGCAGGGCGAGGGGTGCGCAGGGGGCTGGGGATGCGGACACTCACCCTGCTCAGCATGAACACTACCGCTCCTCCAACCCCCCCAAAATAAGATTCCTGAGTCCAGGAATCCCCCTTGGTGCCGGCTCCGGGGAGAGTGCCCGGATGACAAATAAATCAGGGGGTGCGTTCCAGCCTCCGTAGGGCAGACGGTTCCCGGTGGGGGCCCGAAAGTCGCCGTGCAAATCCAGCGCAGCCGTTTCCCTGCGCACCTGCGGGTCCGGCCGCATTTCCCCGGCTTCCCCATCTCCTTCGTGTCCCCCTTCCCGGTCTCTCAGGAACTGCCCGAGTGGAAAACCGGGATTTCTGCTCCTAATGCAGCGCAGCTGCCTCTGCGGGGCTGCGCTTTGTAGCGGAGCCGTGGAAACTCCCCGAGGGTGATGGCAGAGCGGGATGCCAGAGCTGCCTTAAAAACCAAATACACACACAAGCAACCCAACAAACAAACAAACATGAACCCGAGCAAAAACCGGCACACCAGGAGGAATCCGCGTCCGGCTCTGCCACAGAGCCCGGGGTGACACCGTGCTCTGTCGTGCCGGGGACACCGGAGGTGCCGTCAGTGACCAGCTCGTCGGGACAGCCCAGCCGGGGCTCCCCTCTCCTTCATTCCACGTTTTTCTCTTTTTCTTCTCTCCCCCCTTTTTCCTTTTATTGTTTTTTTTTTTCCTTTTTCTTTTCTCTCTCTCTCTTTTTTTTTTCTCACTTTCCTTTCTGTTTGTTTTTTCCTTTCCTTTCTTTTTTTCCCTTTCTTTCTTTTTGCGCTGGTTCTGGTTAAACGTTATTTGCACTTTTGTTGGAAAAGTGGCCCCTAGTGTGCAATTATGTCAAATTTCTTTGAGTTTTACAATTTAATGGAGAACAGTAACTCTTTTATTGATCCTAGACGAGGCCGGCTCCTCTTCCCCCCCTCCACCTCCCCTCCCTCTCCACCCGCCCCCCCGCACTCCCATGAAATGTCACTCAATGTCTCTTACGCTCCCTCCACTTTCCAAAACAAACAGCGGAGGCTGCAGCCGTCTATTGACTCAGTTGGATGCAAGAGGATCTCGACGTGGCCGCTGCCCCCCGACGGGAGCCGTGCGGCGGCCGGGCGAGGCTCGCCGGGTACCGACCGGGATGGAGCCGCCGCCGCCCGCCTGAGCCCCGCGGCCGCCCGGGGGGACCCCCGGCCCGGGGGGGATGGCGCTCAGCTCCCGGGCTCACGCCTTCTCGGTGGAAGCCTTGGTGGGACGCTCGGCCAAGAGGAAGATGCCGGATGGTCGCGACGAGGAGCCCGGGGCCGGCCGCCGGCAGAGCCGCAGAGCCCCGGAGGCGGGTCGGTAGCGCCGGGGCAGCCCGGAGGGGACCCTCGGGGCCGGGACGGCGGCGGGAAGAGGCCTCCTCCTCTCCGGCAGCCCCCCTAGCCGCCCCTCCCGTTTGTCTCCCCCGCAGAAAAGCGGCCCAAGGCCGGTGCCGAGAGCCGGGAGGCGGGCGCCGGGGTGCAGGTGGAGCTGCAGGGCTCCGAGCTCTGGCGGAGGTTCCATGAGATCGGCACCGAGATGATCATCACCAAGGCCGGCAGGTACCGGCCCCGCCGCTCCTCTGCCGCCGTCGTCGGGTTTTCCTTTCCTTTTCGTTGTGTTTTCTTTTTCATCTTCTTCCTCCTCTTTTCCCTTTTCTTATTTCTTTTCTCCCCCCCTCCCACCTTTCCTTTTTAAAATTTTTGTTGTTGTTGGGGTCTTCTCCTTTCATTCCGGTTTTCTTTCACTGGTTTTGTTGAGATTAAATTTTTTCTTCAACCCCATGTCCTTTTTAGTTTTGCAACCCCTTTTCGCCGTTCAACCGGCAGCTCTTGCTCAGGACCTTTCCCTCTGCCCGCAGGAGGATGTTCCCCTCTGTCAGGGTGAAAGTGAAAGGGCTGGAGCCGCTCAGGCAGTACTACATCGCCATCGACGTCGTCCCGGTGGACTCCAAACGATACAGGTACGGGGGGGTCCGCGGGGCAGCCGCACACTCCGATTCCGGAGCGGGATCCCGCCCGCTCCACGCGCTTATGTGAACTGGGGGCTGCAGAAGCGGATGGGGGGTGCTGCCGGGCCCCCTGCACCTATAGATGCTATAGGTGCAGGCCGAGAAGGGCTCGCCGCCGTCTGACAGCAGCCGGCCGGGCCAGGTACGTCTATCACAGCTCGCAGTGGATGGTGGCTGGAAACACGGACCACTCCTGCATCACCCCGCGGCTCTACATCCACCCCGACTCCCCCTGCTCGGGGGAGACCTGGATGAGGCAGATCATCAGCTTCGACCGGGTGAAGCTCACCAACAACGAGATGGACGACAAGGGGCACGTAGGTGTGGGGCAGCCCCGGGAGGAACCGAGAATCTCCCCCAGGGCAGCGCCTCCTGCCCCGTGGCTGGGTACTCGGACTGTGCTGCCCTGTCCCTCCCGGGGCTCAGCCGGCCTCTCCCCGCACAGATCATCCTGCAGTCCATGCACAAGTACAAGCCCCGCATCCACGTTATAGCCCAGGACTCGCGCTTCGACCTGGCCCAGATCCAGTCGCTGCCTGCCGAGGGGGTGCAGACCTTCTCCTTCCAGGAGACTGAGTTCACCACCGTGACGGCCTATCAGAACCAGCAGGTACCGGTCACCGGGGGACGGGGTGAGGAGAGCCCCGGGGGTACCGGGGCCGGGAGCCGGAGAGCCCCGACAGCGGCCGGTCCCTGCCGGCCCCGAGCCCCAAGAGCCGCTCTCTCTTCCACCCCCCCAGATCACGAAGCTGAAGATCGACAGGAATCCCTTCGCCAAAGGTTTTCGGGACCCCGGCAGGAACAGGTAAGGGCCGGGGCCGTCCCTCCGCCTGCCTCGGCTCCCCCGCTGGCCCCGCAGCGGGTCTCAGCCCGGTCTCGCCTCTCAGGGGGGTCCTGGATGGGCTTCTGGAGACCTACCCGTGGCGGCCCCCCCTCGCCCTGGACTTCAAGGCTTTCGGCGCAGACAGCCAGGGTAAGTCCTGTTTGATGCCTTTTCGTTCCCCGTCTCTCCCCGCTGCCGCACTGCCGGAGCCTCCGCGGGGGCACGTCAAGGGGTCTTCGGCGGGTAAGATAACGAGGTGGGTCCGGCAAACGAAACGGCCGTCACAGAAACTCCTTGGGAAGCCAGTTCCAAGCGTTTTCGGCCCGAACTCCCGTTCAAATCGGTGTGGGGAGCGTCGGGGAGAGAAGGGCAGTGGCGCGGTCCGGCTTCATCCCCGGTAGAAATCAGATTTAGGTGTACAGAAAAGATTATCTGGGTCTGCAGGAGGCCAATTTGAAATCGGGTTGTTACGGCTTCGATCCTGTTACATTAATTGTTTCCAACCCATTTGAGTACAGTTAAAAGCATGGCACGAGTGTCGGCGGCGGCTTCTGAAGCTGCTGCTCCTGGGCAAGAGAAGGCTTATACACCAGAAAATAAAATGATCTGGGTTTTAGGGTGTAGCAGCCCCACATTCTGTCACCGCCGCAGAAATGCAGTGAAGTGGGAAAGGTTTTCCAGCGAAAACGACCTCTCTCTGCCTAAGGAGCACCCATCGGTCCCTTACAGCCCCTCTCCAGAAAACCACTTTTTGGAAGTATGAGTTGAAAACTGGTTATTCGTAGTGCCATGAGGAAAAAAAGGAACAGAGATTTGGCACGCTGGAGTGCTCCGGTTTGGGCTTAAAGTCCCCAGTTTTACTCTCACTTATGTCAGGGAACCGTTCAAACTATTGGGGCACACCAAACCATTCCTGCTCTGCAGGGAAATACTGCAAAAATCACAGCACAAATTCACGCTGCACAGGCATAAAATGTAGGGACAAGTAATCAGGGTAAGGAGAAATTAAGAGGTTTAAGGGTTGTAAAGAGAACTGGATTACTCTTAAATATATGTATGTATATTTAGGAAAGACCTTACACAAAAAGCAGTTTTTGAACCTGTGTGGCCGAGGAAAGGAGCTTGCAGATGGGCTGCAGTGGGGAAAAACAGAACAGCAACAACAGCGCTCATTGTAAAGGTGCTAAATATTAAGGCTTCCTGGGATTTTTTTTTCTTTTTTATATTTAGTTTTTGCTAGTCTTCATGTAATCGCTATTTTTCTTTGGGTTCAATCACCTGGACCGATGTAAATATAACAAAATATCCAATTCCACTGTATTTATGAAGAAAAGCAGAAAAAAATGGAATCCCAAAGCCCTAAAATGAGCAGGTAAATAAAAAGAAAGCATGAACAGTATGCTGAAGGAAGAAACTGGCAATAAAGTTAGGATTTTTAAGCCTAATAGAAATGTCAGAAAGCATCTGCTGTTTGAGCTGCTGTGATTCCTGTTCCCAAACTTGTACTGGGAATCGTGTGATACTATTGCTTAGGATACCTTGAAGCAGATACTAACACTTCTTCGCCCTGCTGTAGCATAGGGATTCATTCATTGTCTTGCATTCAGAAATATCAGCTCAATCACACCATTTTACAGATGTCCCTGAGGACATCGGGCTGTGAACATCAGGAGAGAACAGGATGCTTGCCCTGTATCAGTCAGTGTTGATATACCCGCTGGGATTAACAGGGAAGGGTGAGACCTTTGAGCCTTAAAACTTTCCCACATCACCCCAACTAGGTGCTGTCCATGTGTGACCCAACCTGTAAGATATTTCGCATGCTGGGAGTTTGCAGAATCCATTTGCAGCACATCCAAACTCTGTGTTTTTTTTAAGTTTGCTATACAAGCAGGTACAGCTCTGTTATACAGTTGGCTCCGTGCCTCTGACTGCATATAAAGTCTGATCAGATCACATCCAGATGATGTATTGCTTGGAATGAAATGTAAATAGAGAAGAACACATAGCAACAATGGATCCATATTCCCTTCATTCCTTTCCTAGTGACTTTGGTAAGAAAATAAAGGGTGGGGGAAAAACCCTCTGGAAGAATGCGGTAATGAATGTGCAGCAGAGGCGTGCAGCTCTTATAGGCATTAGGAGAGACCACCATCTGCTCAGCACCAGGGCCGGCGGCTCCAGAGCACCAGTCCCACCCCAGAACAGCCGCCACCTCATAGTTTTGACTCTGGCTGATGCTCTGGAGGAGGATGAGCTGGTGCTGAGCACTGATGTTACACACCAGTGGCCTCGGCAGCGCACACACATGTGAAGTGAGCCTGGGTCACTTTTCTACCAAACTATGAAAGTGTTCATTGATTCATTTCAGAAAGGAGAATGTTAAAATGACATGTGCATTTAAAGCTTCTGGAGACACCGACAGTATTCAAGGGTGTGTTTCAAATTGCATGGGAAGCCAAGTAAAATTAGTCAATTCCTGTGAGCAGGAAGGTACAAAAAATTCTCCATCAGACTGAATATGTTTTTTTGTTCTTATGTATAGGGGAAAAAAACTGCCTGTAATTTGCACAAAATATAGGGGACTTGAAATAGTGACGGAGTGTGTATAACAAGAGAGTTATTGGTCATACAATGAAGTGTAGACCCAGCAGGTACTGCATATGTGGAGCTCAACTTCATAGCTGCCCCAGTCAAGCGAATGGGATTAGATATGTAGGAATATCACTGTCAGACAAGTAACAACAAATAGTACATGGAGACATGGGAACCGGGGTCCTCCAAGGGTCCCTTGGCTGTGAACATCAGCCAGCCCAGCCTGGACAACTTCTGCTTTTGTTTTCAGGTGGGAGCTCCAGCTCTTCGCCGGTCACCTCCAGTGGTGGGACGCCTTCTCCTCTCAACCCCCTGCTCTCTCCATCGTGTTCTCCTCCTGCCTTTCACTTGTCAGCAAGCAACATCGGTGTGTCATGCCCTGAGACCTATCTACACAACCTCAATGTGCCCCTCTACTACAAGATTTGTCCTACAAGCTTCTTAAGACAACAGTCTCTCATCTTCCCAAGCCATGAAAAACTGGGAGGCACCAGCCCACATCTTTTACCCCACTTCATGGTGGATGTGCCAAAACTATCTTCCCTCGGCATAACCAATCTGAAAAACGCTAAGGCTGAAGACTTGAACGGGCAATGTCTACAAGTACCCAGTTCTGCTAGTCAAATGCTGTATGGATTACATGCATCTGGAAACATTTTTCCATCAAGTCCCATTGCTCGGGAAGCACTTAATTGTTCTTTACATCCTCCATATGGCTTGTATGGTTACAACTTCTCTGTGCCATCTAGACTGATGAATGCAGCAAGCCATTTCAAAGTGAGTGACAGCATTCCGGCTTCTTTGAGAGATGGCAGATGTAATCACTCTAACTGGCACCCAACAATTAACCATTGCCTTTAGTGGAATTATATATTTCTAAGCATTGATATGTAAATCAATCTTTTCCTTCCTTCATACCCAAGGGCTTGCTAGTTATTGACTATGAAATACTGCATGGTACAGGAGTGGTGTGCCTAGGCATTTAGCTTTTTATGTGGGCAAATGTGTTGTACTGTTGGGAGGGTGGAGGATCTGGGAGCGTAGAGGGTCTGAGGTGATCCACAGCAAGGTGGTACCTTTTGGTAATATTTAAGTCATGGTTGTAGGTTAGGAGCAAACTGTACAGTCACCTTCTTAATATTTGCACTCTGAAGTGGGAACATAGACATAGACATATACATTTCTACAAATATGTTTTCCTCAGACTCTTTCTTCAGCTTGCCTATAGTCAGTTCAAAGCCCCAGCGAGTTTCTGCTCACTAATTTCAACAGGACTATTCAAGACATTGAGTCAGCACAGGAGCCGTATTTGGCCAAGTGCTTAAGCATATTCTCAAGTTCCCTTGGCTTTAGTGGGTCCTACTTAATGACATGAAACTGCCTTGTTCACCAGGTGACTCGGTTATCAGGGTGGGGATGCAAAGTCAGGTGTCTGTTGCCAAGGTAAAAGGATGAAAGATGGATGTGCTCCTACCTTGTGGGGATGAGAAAGTGGAGCCTGAGGAAGGGATGCCCCAGAACCCCCCTTTTCGTGTTCCTCCATCTGGAGATCTCCAGGAAGTGGTAGTGCAGAGCGGCACCAGCATGGTGGGAAGAACCAGGGAATGTAGGGGCCACACATCTCCCCCGTGGTGAGATGGATCCATGCTAAGGGACTGAGAGGATACATCTTAGGGAGCTGCATGTGATGAAACACCCCTGGGAGCCCTGCAGGACACTTCTGCCTCGTACCTCAGCCCTGGGGGACTTAGGAGACCCACTTGGGATCGCATTCACCAGCCTGAGGGATGGGGCAGGGATGCTGCTGGCTCTGTCCTGTGGAGAATGCAGATTCTCTCTGGAGAGTTACAGCTCTACAGGTCCTGAAACATGAGATTTTAAATTCCTTCCAAGAGTCCTGTTTGGTTTATTATAACCTGTGGATATTCTTGTTATTCCTGTAAATATTTAGCTCCCAAGGGCACAATATAACTCACAGTAAATTGAGGCATAGGTTTTATTTTTTATTTGATTGATGCTCTGTCCCTACCTAAAGCCAAATTTATTACCTGATATAGGACAGAGATCTGAAAATAACGCTGAACTGGGACCAGCCACAATTTGGTAGTAAGATAGAGGAATCCTGTATTTATGAACATAAATACTGTAAGTACTATATAGGGGGTAAGTGCAGGTTTAAGAATCAAAATTTGTATCAGAGTTTTGGGTTTTTTTTTCATCCATATAGATGACAAATTAAGAGCTCAATAAGAAATATCAAAAGCTGTTAAAATAACAAAAAGTCATGCTTTTTCTTTCATGAGGCTTTGCTAAAAACCAGGCAACATTGGTTTCCCTAATTTGCCTGCTTTTAGCTCCAGAGATACCAGTACGAAACGTGCTTGCCTTGCTAAATGGTCTGTACAACTGTAAAAATGAACCAACCTGCTTTCTCGTGCTGTTTCTCAGCAGTTTATCTCACTATTTTTATTAAAAAAGAAAAAAAAAACCTTTCATTTTTCATTTGGGAGTTCTTATTCCTAAGCCATCCCTTGCCATCAGCGGTGGCTGCGGTCCTGCAGATGGGCAGGCTTTGTGAGGTGCTGCAGGTATCTGCTCCCCACAGGCTGAGTGACCGAGTACCGGCCCCCACATGTGGTTAAACTTGTAGGGAGCTGGAAGGCTTTTGCAGATCAGTCACGGATTCGTGGGTGGATGCAGTGGGTAACTTCCAATTTTCCAAGGGTTTTTTTTTAGTTGCTTAAGTTATTCCATGCTGGCCGTGAGCTGGTGATCCAACAAATCAGTATTTGTCTAGTTAACGTCATAACTGACAATGACTAGAATAGATACTTTCGGTATGCACAATTTTACAGGGATAAATATTTATACTGAGATTGGATAAATTCCACCTACTACAGCTGAGCAAAGGCTCTCTTTGACGGGATGCACCTCATTCCTACTTGGAACAGGTTTGTTTGCAAGCAGCCACAAGGCTTCCGGGGGCTGCCTGCTTCTTCTGTGCCTTTTGGCAGCAAACTACAAAGCCAGCACTTGGGTGATGTGCACCAAAAGCAATGCTTAGCTGACTCCCCTGGAATCGGGATGGGTTTCAATGCACCTACATGGGTCCTGCAGGAGCCTGATTTCCCCACCCTCCCAAATCATAGCCGCACAGAAGAAACACAGCCAGAACCTGGCTCCTGCAAGGTATGTGTGTGTCCCTTGGGTGTCAGCCCTGAGCTTTGGGGAGGATGCAGTACTCATCATCATGGGTGAGGCAGGCATATAAATACGTGTTTGCTCCATAGAAGCCTGGCATAAGAGACACTGCAGAGCTGGGTTATCTGAGGTTAGTTTCTATTCTGTTTGCCTCTATCTTCTGATGTTACCCTTTCAAAAATCACTGTAACAATAGACAACAACGTTGGAAGTATTTTCAGGCAGTCATAGCTCTGTCCTGATGCCCCTGGTCACCTCAGACCCAGCCAAGGCTCCCTGACCGTTCCAGCATGGGGGTATTTTCTATACCCACAATGCTAATTCAGCTGAATCACTCACACTGTAACAGAGATGGTTCTGCTTCCATGGGGAAAACTGTGTCCAAAGTAACGGATAACCTGCACGCTGCTTTCTAGAGGTGCATTGTAAAACGGCTGCTGGTGAGAGGTGAGTAGCAGAACTCAAGAGAGTCAGTCAGTGTAAGTCATTAGATATTAAATGTGAAACTGGGGGAACTGAGGTCAGCGTTTCAAGTGGGACCACACATCTGTAAATACAAATACCTTACGTGCTGCTTTGTTCTTCCTCCCACTAGCATTATTTGAAAAGCCATGGCAACTGCAAGAGTTCACAGGTCTTCAGACTTAGTGGGTTAATACAAACCTAAATGCAGTATTATGGTGTTATTTTTCAGTGGGAACAGCGAGAAGATACCCGGGTTTTTTTAGATTAAACTTGCTGATCAATCTTAGCTATTGGTCATTTGACTTTTCTCAAGAGGAGTTTGAAGTTACTCGGGAATATCTGGTCCCATTCATAGCACTCAACAAGTAAAACTGGCCATATCATGTGTGCCGTGTCTGCGCTCCACACTGGGACATGGGATGGGCTTAGAGCTCAAAAGTCAGGAGGTTCATTTAAAAACCAAGGAGACAAAACCCCAGCGATAATGTTTTTAATTAGAGTGAAGTTTACTATCCAGTTTCACCCAAATTTAATACATCTATTGGGGAAGCCAAATGTGTAGAGGGAGCGTCGGATGTAGCTTTTTCCGACCGAACTGCCTTGGTTTACATTTGATCTTCTGAGGTTTGGTCTGTAATTAGATGATAATTTGTATCACAATTATGCAAAACAAACGAGGATTGGATAGCAAGATAGACCAGAACAAATAAGCACCCAGAACATTTGAAACGCATCCAATATTAAAACGATGTACATGTGTGGCTGGGGCCAGGGGGGACATGCTGTTCCAATAAAGCTGCAGAAAGGGGAAAGGCCGGTATCGGTTCCTACAAAAGTTTCAAATGCTCATGTTTACAAATTTGTATTGCACATTAATATGTAAACACACACCATTGGAAACAGATGACTCCGCAATATTTACGTGTCCTTTCTCCATAGTTTTGTCTGTCTGTCTCCTGGAATACACAAAACTATGCAGTGACTCTCTTAAAACATAGCTCAGAAAGCTCAATAAGAGCTACAGCATCATTTTAAGTCGCTGATGCCGCAGAGTCTCTCCTGGCCCCTGGATGTATTTTGGGTACTGGGGGCAGGGGGTTGTTCCCTATGACCCCTCCATGGGCTGTGCTATGAGCGCTCGGTGGCTGGAGCTGCACTTTGCAGCACCGCAAGTGATACCTCGTTCCTCAGCCTTCACGCACTACATGTATTGCAGTCTTCTTTATCACTGTGCTTCTCAGAGGCACTGGAGCCATGGCAGAAGATTGCCTCACCATTGCAGCTGCCACATCCACGCTGGCTCGGCAGCCTCTGTGCTTTGCCAATGGTCTGGAAAACCAGCTTTCAAAAGGTAAAGGGTTAGTTTTTATAGACTAATTTTGAAAAGGGAAAGAAAAAACACCTTCCTTGCAATGTGAGTGAAAACTTGAGACTTCTTAAACACCTTTCTTTCAATGGTTGATTTGCACTTTAGGACTAAGGCTTTGGGCACCCCTTTCTGCACTCAGCTGTGTCTGTGCAAATCGCAGCCTCCTGGCCCCTCTGGGGTTAAACCCAGTGTCCGCCTGGATGCAGCAATTGAGGCTGTTGGGAATTATACTGGCTGCAAGGACTTTTGCAGATGTTCAGTATTGCACTGCAAGCTGCTCATGCTTAGTAGAGCTCTGCTCTCCCCGAGCACATGTAGCCTCTGAATTTTATAGTTATTTATAAAACCAGTTCTCCTCTCCATCACTTTGGTGACATTCACAAGAAGGACCTACCATCTACTTCCATACATCAAACAATTTCCTCCCAGACTGCTTATCCTAAAGCACTGAGTTTTCAGTTTATGATAGCAATTAAGTGTAAGAAGTATACTTATATACTTCCAGGTTTTGTAAAGGACCCCTTGAGCTTATAAATCAAATGACACAAACCAGTAAGCAAAATTCAAGACCTTTCTGGAGAGGAAAACACCAAGGATAAGGGAGAACCCCCAGGGAAACTAATAGTTATTGTCTAAGGTGGTAGATCCTGAACAAAACCAGAGATGAGGGCAGGGGTTCAGGATGGTTTCTAACTCTCTGAAGTTTGAAGATATATTACATGCACTGAAGAGGCTTTCAGGTATTTTCTCTTATTTCTAAAGCCTCCCTCTCTCAGGCTTTCAAAGAACAGCTTTTTGGAGAAATTCACTTTTCGTTCTTGGCGCTGGCTCCACATCTCACCTCTGAGCTGGGTCCCAGCTCCAACAATTTCCTCTGGGCCCTGCCCAGCAGCTGGGAGCACTTAGCAGCTCATCCGCCCCACTCAGCTCACCTGCAGAGTGAGCCCTGACAAGTCCATCTGCTTCCAGTCAGGCCTGCAAATAAAACCGGGTCTCAACTCTAAAAGGAAGAAAAGAGAAATGGCCTTGCGTGGTTATTCAGTTACCCTTGCTATTACTCAGATGATGCTCTGGGGGTGGATACTGCCTCCTGCTCTGGTTGTGAGTCCGCTGGAACAAGCTGCTGCATCCCTTCCCTTTGTACTGCAGCCTGAAACCAGCAGAAATACTCTTCTTAAATTCAGGTTTGAGAGGAG